CATTTTTAATAAAGAAATGACATAACAAGCCTTCATTATTATTATGTGAACATAAACTAGATTTGAAATAATGTTACTTTAAGTGCATTTCAAACAAAGTTACTTAAAACTTTGAGGGAATATGGTACATTCAACGATAAACACATAAATAAGAGATTTTAACAATTGCGCTACGCACACACGCTCAAAAACAATCAAATTTTGTTTTTGATCATTTCAAAAGTCATAAAAATGCGATAAACACTCTAGCATTAAAGTAAAAAAAGCAAACATGACGGCATGTGTGATTAGCCTCTCCTTCAAACACGAAATAATCGTTGTAGACACTTTTTCACTTCTATTCAAAACACACATGGGGGTCCCATTACTTCGATGTAAAGCTTCTTTAAAAAAGTGTTCAAAAGCAGCCATGAAGAAGAACAAAAAAAAAATCCATTCTCCGGAGACAAACAAAACCATTAATTAAAACAAGCTCTCAAACATCAATCTCTCCGCCTGTCACAAAATTATCATAATCTGGGAATGTTAAGAGTCTGTAGAGTAAACAGTTAATTTAGAGGAGTATTAATCAAAAAGTCTGGCTTTCTGTACCCCCTCTGTGCTGTGGCACTTGTACTTTTTCATCTAGCGCACTTTGTACACTTTGCACAGAGAGGGGGCAACTTTTAATGCACTTCTTCACGAGTGTACTTAAAGGACAACAGTAATATTCATGAATTCCAGTTTACCTTCAGTATTACAGCCCGAGAGTTTTTTTTATGACCTCCAATATATCTTAATTTCATAATATTTCATAAATGGATATATTTTTGAACAGAATGTCAGTATTTACCACCTATGATGTACAGATGATGCACGAAAAATTAAAAACACAACTTACACAGCTTAAATCCTGATGTATCTGGGCTGTTTTTTTCCAGAACAACATGATGGTGTCATCAAAGCCATAATCATGTCAGAAATGTTGAGCTGCGGTGCTCACATGGGTGACAGGTTCGATTCTGGCCTGCAACCTGTCTTGATCCAGTTTCCTTTCATTCTCCATGATCACTGTCTAATAAAAAAGGCAAAAGAATATATAGTCAAAAACATTAAATGGTCACACTTTAGTTTGGGGACCAGTTCTAATGTAGAATAAGGCATTAATATGTGCTTTATAAGTACTAGTAAACAGTAACATGCTTGCTAATAAGCAAGTTAATAGTGAGAATTGGTCCCTAACTAAAGTGATACCCATTAAACAAATCTACTGAGGACATTTGCCCTGTCTGTCATTAGCACAATCAATCATTTGTGATTTTACATTTTATACCTAAAAATATAACAGTATTTTCATATTCATCAAAAGAGATATCTAATATCCTGTAAAAACCTTAAACGCTAGAATGAAACGATTTTGAACCTGGCTTTATCTAATGTTCAGATTTCTGTTTTTTTTAATGTATGCAAATTAGTACATAAATATCCAAATATGATGCCTCATTTGCGATTCAAAACAATTGTCTTAATTTACTGTGATCAATCAGCTGGGGAAAGTACGGTCATATCGATTCCTTTAAACAAATATCCTATTCCTCTTTTATGATCTCGTATTGGTAAAATCGGTTTCTCAAATCATTTAGCCTGCTTAAACCCTGCAAGCTCACATCACATTCTGTTTAGAAGTGTTGTGCTTTGGTGCTCACATGGCTGACGCAGGTTCGAATCTGGCCTGCAACCTGTCCCAATCCGTTTTCCCTTCTCTCTCTCCATAATCTCTGTCAAATAAAAAAAGGCAAAAGCCCAAAGAAGATGCAGTCAAAACATTAAACAAATCTATCGAGGATGTTTGCCCATATTATCAGCGTGATCAATCGTCTGTGAGCATCTAGTAGCCGCGCTGTAGCTGCAGTAACATCTGAGCAGGGCAAAGACGAACAGATGTTGAGAGACTATCTTAGCAGCTGAAGGTTTATTCACAGGTGTGTTTGAGGAGTCAGTGTGTGTGTGTGTATGAGGGGAAACTAAGAGAGAGCTAGAGAGATGGGGGGCACTGCTGTTGTAATAATGTTGGGAGTGGGTGTATAATGTGAGTATACAAGCTGTTAATCTCTCCTGTGTAGCTGTGTTTAAATGTGTTTATGCTTCATTAAGCATGCATTACCTGCTTCATTACTGCTGTGTAGCAGCCACTGCCAGTGAGTCTCACGCTCTGAGTGTGGGTGTGTGGAAGTTCATTGCTCTCACAGACTGACCCCGGCCCTGACAGGATGCTTCCTTTTTGGAGGAATTGATCTTTTTTGGAGCAACTTGCTTTAGTTTCACTTGCACATTGATGGGGGTGATATGAGGCTGGGTAAATAATGACAGCATTTTCATTTTTGAGTGAACCGATGAGTTGTAGCTAAGGGAGGCTTCATCGGTTTGTGGGAAAAGTTATATATGTTTTATCAGGTGTGGCCAGATGATGTCAGATAATGTCCTGTGGTTTTATCATGTTATATGCAATTCTAAATCATTAAAAAATTATGACCAGAAACACATGTAAACACACATACAGTACACCGATAACTATATCATATTATATATACTATACTATATTAAAATTATGTATTTTGTAAATGTAATGTATATATTTTATTGTGAACAATTCATCCATGTTTCATTTTTAAGGATTCTTTCAGATTAGTGAAAAGAAGACATCCAAAATACACATTTGAGTGTTTATGTTATGTGTATTACGTCATCCATTTACATAGATTTAAATTTCGATACATATTTTGTATATGAGCACTTACACCAAACTTTACAGTTTATTTCTATTTATATTCTGAAGTTTTTTTTTCATATAACATATTCACTTGATTTATATAACATTTTAGTCCGTAAAAAATATTGTGAAAATGTTTTTCCTTGTTGATGACAGTATTTTTGAGTGATAAAGAGATATAACCGACAGTATGTAAAAACATTTAACTCTAAGATGTCAATAAAATGAAACAAGAATGTTAAACTTGGCTTTATCCAATGTTCAGATTTCTGTTCTGGAAATGTGCACAAATTGCATATTTAATGAGACAATGCCTCATGCGCATATTTAAAAATAAACTTGTAATCCAAAACAACTAATGTCCTGTAATTAATCAACTGGGGAAAGTTTGGTGCTTGTTTAAATTCACCTGTTCTGTCCTTGTAATGGTGAAAATGAGTCTTCTCTCTAGTGAGGCATGCTGGACTTCTCCAATCACTTAGTTTGCCTAAACCCCGCCCCTCCACAATCCACTGCAAGCGCACGCTCATTTTCGAGTGCAACGCCCACATCTCAAGATCCAATCAATGACCGATGAATAGACTCAAACCTAAGGCCTTAAAAAAATTTAATTAAATAAAAAAAAATCTGTCCTTGCTTTCACCGCAGCTTTAAGAGAAAAATGTAAACATTTAATTAATAAATAAATAATTCATAAAACGTTTTGACTAGTTAGGCTACTTTTTCAAATTAGCAATAAGTGATGCACATTACTTTTCTACAACAGTAAAAAAAAAGAGTCAATGTCATGCTAAGAGCATAAAAAAATCCCTATGTAAGGGATAATGTACAGTCTGCCGATCATTGTTGCAAAACAATAATATAGCCTAAATTACAAAATTAATTTCTCTGTGTTTATAAGTTACTTTTTCTATGGACTATTTAGGCAGTATATATAGTCTGTCTATAATGTAACATCTCTTCTTCTATTGTAAGTTCTCACTCATTTAGCTCTTTGTGTCTGACCAATCAGTATCAAGTATAAAATGGTTTTAAAATGAGCACAGGGTTTTTATGGCGTCGACCACAGTGTTATAAGGGAGCATTATTGTTGTGTATGCATGGTTATTAGGCTTACTACATCCTTCGCAGGATGTTCATTGTGAGGAAAATACCTTGAAAAAGGGTTAAATCCAACATAAATATATACAATTATAAATTATAGTCTAATATTGGAACATGTGATTTTTATTTATTTATTTGGTTTTAATCTGTTAAATGAGTTCACACAATATAGGAATTTCCTAAATCTGAATATCCCGAATATATACCGTCAAAATATTTTAATTTTGATGAAAAACAATTATATCGATATCTTTTCTGGGTCTATTTTCTGCGTTTTTTCTTCTTCTTCCTTATTATTTGTTTGAGTGTTAAAACAGTGGACTAAGGACTTTACAACATGGGAGCTAAATATAATGCAACTGTATTTTTGCTTTAACTTAATTATTCATTCGGAATATATAGCCAAGTATAACCAGGTCTAGTGCATCTCCAGAGCCAAATATTTTGGGATTGCATCTATGTTTTAAATTGAATTAAATGAATAGATAAATGAATCAATTGAATTTAAGATGTAATGCAAGGAAACGCTATTATATACAAGAGTATTATCTAAAAGAGCGAGAGATCTGGTGCTACAGACGCAAATGATCCTCCACACCTGCAGACAATGGCGACACCTTCTGATCACTGACTAAAGGCAGGACCTTCTCGTTGAAAACGACGGACTGTGGATTCAACCTTCCACTGATGTCCACCCAGATCGGATAGTTGCAACTTATTGAGAAATTGCAGAAGTACATTACTTGTTACTTGATGGTGGTTTGGCATAATAATGTATCAATCAAACAGTATATAAATATGAATAAAACCCGTTCACATGCAATTGTTTCATCATTCAGAGTCATACAAGAGCTATTTATACAGTGAGGTAATTAAATAGTGCATAGCATGTAAACGTGAATACAATATAAAGGTATTGAAAAAGCGTATATTTTGTCACGTGATGACAGGCAGCAGGAGTTGGGAAGGTTTGTAGGGTTGTTGTAGCCTACATTATTATTCCTGGACAAAAATATCTACTGATTATTATTTTTGTCTAGTCACTTAAATCGTGCGAGCTTAATTATTTCCTTGCACACAAAATACTAGTGATTTCGTTCAAATTACATTCAGTTCCAGTTGACGAAGTTAATAAATGTAGGACTTTTATTTTGAATCTCTGCTAACGGAAACACGTCAGCGAAGGTCGTTGGGGAAACTGCTGTTAGATGATGAGTGCGACACTTTCAGTTGACCAAGCGGTCACATTCCGGTAGAAATCAACTTACCGACCTGCTGTATCCCAGAGGGTAGCACTCCTTCAGTTCATCTGGAGACTCACACAGGCTGGGACCGAAACGGAAAGGCTCTTCGTTATAAAACGGCTATTCCCTGGGTAAACGGGCACCTTAGATAAGAGAGAAGATTCTCGAATCGGCAGACGCTCTGTCCGCACCCGCTCTGGATCCCCGGATCTCTTTGAACGCGTCGACATGAGGAGTTTGCCGTATTTCTGTCGGGGACAGGTCGTCCGCGGATTCGGACGGGGAAGCAAAGACCTGGGCATCCCCACAGGTGAGACTCTCTAGCCCGTATGCGGCAGCTGTCGCGCCGCGCGGAGTCTCTCTACACTGCACGCGACAAAGCGACCGTTGCAGATGATTTGAACTTTGTGTCAGTAACTTTACGTCATGAACAGAACGAGGCATCGGTTTACTGTCGGTCCGTGTAGACCGCGTCGCTCTGGACGCTGAAGCAACACTCCAAAGACACACATTCTGTCAACATTTAGTGGACCTCATGCTGTTTGTGCCTGGCTTTCTTCTGTGTGAGAGAAATGAGAAGTGTCAGTAACCATTCACTTCTGTTGAACGGAAAGACGCAATTAAAGTGTACTGTGACTGAGGCCAATTCTGATGTGTAAACGACGACATGGGGTAATGAGTTTGGGGTGAACTAAACATTAAACTTGTATTAAAAACAGGCTGTTAATTATTTAACTTTCTTTACACTCAATAGGAGATCAATTCATGTTGTTGTCATTCGAGAAACGTGTAATAAAGAGTTTCTTGAAATTATTCAGTTTAATATCAGCTGTAAACATCACACCAGTAAGTTTACTCTTGTAATGAATGTTACCGTTCAGCAAAAGCAATGGCCATATTGTTATATAACTTCACTGACAGGTTATAGGTCTTACAACACGCGTCTGTAAAATGGTTGATTGTGATTGGCCAGACACGACCGTGAGCCCAACAGTGCCCGCCCATCTTTCAGCGGCCTTGGTTCCCTATTCATTTTCCCCATAGGGATTTTATAGAAGTCTTAAAGAGTTAGAAGTGATGAACCAAACTAACGAGCTAAGAGGTGAACCACAAAATTACAATCTTTGGTTTGAAGCAAAAAGTACTTGAAAATGGGACAAAAAGACAAGGCCTACTTAACAGCTTTAACGAGGGAAAGAACTACAATCCCATGGAGCATTGTGAATGACAACCCAGAGAAATATGAAAAGAGAAAGAGAAACAATATATGGTTTATTACAGTACAAGTAGTTTTGAGAGTGCAGGGAAGCTGACTGCATTCACAGCGCTTAAAGGGAGTTTTGGCAATTTGCTTGACCTTATTCTCTGATTGGTGGATTTTTCTTCAGAATCATGAGCAATGTAGTTTTTTCACCAGAAATACAGCTGTTAAACAACTGTTATAAAATAAGTTGAAATAATGCAGTCTGATGGCTTCTAGAAAAGCACATACCATTGATTAACCTCATGGTAGCTCACACTATGTTTGTGTTCATGGCAACACTACTTTTGTGTTTCCTGTATCATGTTTTATATTACCTTTCACGACGTGGTAATCTTGCTTGTCAAGTTTGTCATGTCTCAAAATATAAACACTGATTAAAGAAAATATGAAGCCAGTATTTATTCTTACTAGAGCCAATGTTTTCTTTCCATTCCCATCCCAGCGAACTTCCCAGAGTCGGTTGTGGACAATCTCCCTGCTGACATTAGCACAGGAATCTACTACGGGTGGGCATGCGTGGATAACGGAGACATTCACAAGATGGTGATGAGCATCGGCTGGAACCCTTACTACAAAAACACAAAGAAGTCCATGGTATGTCCATGTCATCCTTTCTAGTGTGCAGACATCTACAAGCTATAGACCCGCTGATAGCTTTGCATTCATTAAATGGTATATTATGTAATAGCAGTAGCAGAGTCGGTTGTAGACAATCTCCCTGCTGACATTAGCACTGGAATCTACTACGGATGGGCACGCGTGGATAACGGAGACATTCACAAGATGGTGATGAGCATCGGCTGGAACCCTTACTACAAAAACACAAAGAAGTCCATGGTATGTCCATGTCATCCTTTCTAGTGTGCAGACATCTACAAGCTATAGACCCGCTGATAGCTTTGCATTCATTAAATGGTATATTATGTAATAGCAGTATAGATTAATAGTACATCTCTTATGTCAGATATCATGTATTTATCTCTCTGTGTAACAGGAAACGCATGTGATCCACAAGTTTAAGGAAGATTTCTACGGTCAAATATTGAGTGTGGCCATGGTCGGCTACATTCGTCCTGAGAGAGGATTCGGATCACTTGGTAAGACTCTGAGCTGCTCTCTTGAACTCACTCCCACATCACATGATCTCACTGATGCCACAACACCCTGTTCACCCACCCAAACACACTCATTCGGTTACAGTAACTCACGGTTGTGTCTTCCTCCCAGACGAGTTGATAGCAGCGATTCATAGTGACATTGAAGAGGCGAAGATAAAGCTGGACCTGCCTGAGCACTTGAAACTAAAAGAGCATCATTTCTTCAAGACGTCGGTAGCGACGACAGCCAATCAGATCTTGAACGGTCATCGACTGTAACATTCACTTTCACCTCTATTTAAAAGCCTGTTTATCACGTATGCAGTTTGGTTTTTATGTACAAAATATTTCTGTCCGCATGTGGTGCTTTGCTCAAGTGCAGGCACTATGTGCATTTATGTTCATATGGTATCATCACGTAGCTCTTTTGTTTCTGTATTTATAGCAAAAAGGAGGATTCCAGTTGCTTACTGGTGAATGATCACTGCAGTTCACAGGGTAAACGACACAGAGCCCTTCCCAGAATTCAGTGATTACCACAGATGATACTATGTGGAAGTCAGGGAGTGTCAAAATCTCTTCTTTCTGGTGAAATTTCTCTTTAGATGGAGAGTTCTTCCCCCACCTTCACTTTATTAAGGAGGACTCTCTTTACTTGAATAAAACACTTTAACAGTTGTCAAAATTGGTGTTCCGCCTCTGAGATAAAATGCATGCTTTTTATGGTTCTCAGAGAACGGTGCCCAGAGGGGGAAGTCCAAGGTTGAGAAAGAGAGTTAAAGCACAGGTTGTTGTAATATGATTACAAAACTGGGCAGATGGAGAACAGTGACTGAAGACTAAATTAATTAACCTAAATGGTCTTTTAAATATTTAAGTGTGTATAGTAGATCTGTATAGCAAACACTTGCTATTATTTATATACGGTTTACTAAACATTAACCTAAAAGAACATGTCTTTTTCTTTTACTCGGGTTATACATTTAGTAGTGTTTTACATTTGAAAAGACACTCAAGAGTCAGGTTAGATCGTAGGTTTACAAATTATTTACCTGTTTCTCCATGTTATGTTCCTGTTGAATTGGTGCTTGAAACATGTAACGTTACTGCAGCAATCCTCTGTTCCGGTGCGGTCACGTTATTAGCGGGATTTCACGGGCAAAAAAATACTGATTCATTATCACTAGTGTAGCTCACACAGAAAACGGTTTCAAACCAAATTTTCGCCACTTTCTTTTGCTCAAAGCGGCGAATCCTGTGGACTTGGATTTTGCCCGCGAAAACTCGCTGAAGAGCGGCAAATGTGACCGCACTGCTGTGTCATGTTCAGACACTCATTCATCTAGACTGGGTCTTTATATGTTGAACTGGTACGTTTGTATATGTTTGGTATATGCTTTTTTTCTGTTTTCTTTATAGGTCAGGGCAGTGCCTTAAATAAGTGAAATCTAGCATATTAATATACAGTGCACAACCAAGCATTCCTTCAATGTTGACACCTGCTTGTAAGCATTAAACAAAAATGCCTTAAGTGGAGTTTTACTGCTGTGTTTTTTTGTGAAAACGTCTGTAATGCTTTCATGATGTCGTAATAAACTGGAAATAAATGAGATCTAGTTCAGAATCAGTGGTAATAAACGCTCTGTTCATTATAAACAATCTTGTGAGCCATTAGTCATACAGTAGCTTTACTTTAACAATCATATTCTTTTGATTAGAACTATTCAAAAGATCAAATTAAATTAATATTAAAAACAGCACCCATCTGAACAGAGTTTTGTTTCAGTCCTGTATGAGTTTATTCTGTGGAACATAAAAGAAGATTTGGAAGAATGTTGGTAACAGTTTTCAGTTTCCATAAAAAAAAATTACTATGAAAGTCAATGGAACCTGAAACTGTTTGGTCCCTATCATTCTTCAAAATATCTTATTTCGTGTTTAACATAAGTCAGGTTTTATTAACAAAATTAATAAAACTTAAACTAAAGTGAAAATAAACACATTCACAATATAAAAAAACTATAATAGTATTAGGTTATATTGTTAAAGTTAAAGTTAACCTGACTGAAAAGTGGAAAAACTTTTGTTTTCTTTCCTATGTCCATGAGGTGAAGTCCTAGTATCTTAACTTTAAAGGGGTCATATGATGCGATTTCAATTTTTCCTTTCTCTTTGGAGTGTTACAAGCTCTTGGTGCATAAAGAAGATCTGTAAAGTTGCAAAGACTAAAGTCTCAAATCCAAAGAGATATTCTTTATAAAAGTTAAGAGTCATTTAGCAACATCATATGGCCCCTTTAAAAAAAGTCAGTGTAGCTAAATATTCGGTCAGCTTGTATGGATGAGAGGCTGCTGTAAAGATAATGTCCTGAAAACAGACACCCTCAAGGGTAAGTGAACCGGCTCTTATTTCATTTTGTGCGCTGTTGGTCACGCAGTGCCTCAGTTCAGCTGACATTTCAGTGAGGGTTTCCCATGCAATCAAAAAACTCAGTTTGATCTAATGGAAATCTGTTACTTGTCTGTACATAATCCTTGGTCACATGTACACTACCTTTCAAGATGCTTTCAAAATAAGTCTCTCAAGCTGTGCAAAAATATAGTAATAGTGTGATATATTATTAGAGTTTAAAATAAAGTTCAAAATAGAAGGAATGTATTCCATTTTTTTTAAACATTACAAACGTGTGTTTGAAGGATTAGTTTATGGTTTATAGTGCTACATTCATTAACTGAATATGTTAATCTGGCTCGCAACTGTAGTTTCTGAAGATCAGTTTCTATATATACAGTATCTGATGTTCTCAGCACTGTGTTAGTTTAATCAAGTAATCAAACTTAACTGAGATAAACCCACAACAAAGAGCCATCATGTTCAATTCATCATACTCAGTAGATAACGGACTGTTAAATCAGCTAACATTTGAAAAAGACTGTCAATACACTGTATAAATCATTTACAGGTCTTAAAGGAATTGTTCGCCCAAAAATGACAATTTGTTGAAAATTAACTCACCCTCAGGACATCCAAGATAATGAGCTTGTAATTTCATCAAAACAGATTTGGAGAAAATTGTCATTCCATCAGTTGCTCACCAATCTACAGTGAATGGGTGCCGTCAGAATGAGCGTCCAAACAGCTGTTAAAAACAAACAATAACTCCATCAATTAATGTCTTGTGAAATGAAAAGCTGTGCTTGTAAGAAACAAATCCATCAAGGTATTTTAACTTTTAACTATTGATTCTGGCCAAAATACAACACCATAATCCAGTAAAAATAAATAAAAAATTAATTCCATCCTCCGTTGTCCTCTCAAATCAAAATTTCACTGATGTATTTGTCTAGACTATTTCACTTGTAAACAGTGCATATTTCTCTCCTGATTCAGACAAGATGACTTTTTCACTGGAGAAAGCAATTTTATTCATATAGGACTCATATTTTAGCTGGACATAATGTTTTGAAGTTAATGATGGATTTCTTACAAACATGCAGCTCTTCACTTCACAAGCCATTAACTGATGGACTGGAGTGGTGTGGATTACTTGTGGATTACTGTGATGTTTTGATCAGCTGTTTGGACTCTCATTTTGACGTTTGTAAGAAACAAATCCATCAAGGTATTTTAACTTTGAACTATTGATTCTGTCCAAAATACGACACCATAATCCAGTAAAAATAAATAAAAAATAAATCCATCCTCTGTTGTCCTCTCAAATCAAAATTTCACTGATGTATTTGTCTAGACTATTTCACTTGTAAACAGTGCTTGATCAGTGCATATTTCTCTCCTGATTCAGACAAGATGACTTTTTCACTGGAGAAAGCAATTGTATGCATATAGGACTCATATTTTAGCTGGACATAATGTTTTGAAGTTAATGATGGATTTCTTACAAACATGCAGCTCTTCACTTCACAAGCCATTAACTGATGGACTGGAGTGGTGTGGATTACTTGTGGATTACTGTGATGTTTTGATCAGCTGTTTGGACTCTCATTTTGCGGGCACCCATTCACTGCAGAGGATCCATTTTCTCCAAATCTGTTCAGATGAAGAAGCAAACTCGTATACATCTCGGATGGCCTGAGGGTGAGAACATTTTTGGATAAACTATTGTTTAGCTACAAATATAAAGCATCAGGCATGACTTGCACATGAATATTGATGACACCATCACATGATATTTAATATTTAGTTACTTACCAAAAGAGTATTGTATTTTCATGTGCACCATCCAAGCTGCTCTCTTCCATTCAATAGAAGTGGATGGAGACCAGGGTCTGTCAAGAAAACCAAAAAATACAACAAAAGCATACAAATAGCAGTCCGTATAAGCGTTTGAGCCATTTTGAATCCACTTTTTGTAATATACAAGTCAAAATATACAAAAAATGTATGGTATGGTCACCATTCACTTTCATTGTATGTAAAAGAGCAGCTTGCTTTTGTGTTAGAAGAAATAATGCCATTAGGGTTTAGAACAACATCATGGTTAGTAAATGATGACAAAATCATGATATTTGGATGAACCATTTCTTTAATTGTTGATTGGTGAAGATTAGTGGGTTTCTGCATGTCAAAATGTTAATAACGTAATTATATGCCCATATCAAAGAAAATAAACAGGCTTTTTATGTTTTATGTGAGAGTATACGTATCATCATATTCCAGCTCCACCTCCACCTCCACCTCCTCCCCTTCCTCATCCCCCTCCAACAGGCTGTATTTAAACTTTCGATACACTATCCCGTCCCTCCCCATGTAAACAATGTCCTCATCCTCCTCCTCCTCTTGGCCCACTTCTTTATCGCAATAATCCATCTGCATGCTGTCACTCAGGGTCGCAGAGGTGAAGGGGGCATCTGTGATTTTGGTGTAGCCGTTCAATTTGACGATGGGCTTTGAGGTGATCTTCTGCCGAAAATGCAGGAAGAGAAAAATGGCGAGCCACAAGCTCACCAGCACAAATATGGCTGTGAAAACAAAAAGGCCAGGATGAACCGAAGTCACTAGATCGTTGCTGAAGAGGTTGTAGCTCAGCGCGACAATGCATTCATCTGAGAAAAGAGAGGTTAAAGGTCAAAGGCTTCATACTGAAAGGTGTTTAAAAATGTACAAACTGTAATTTAGTAGCATCTGCCACTTTGAGTGAGTGCTGTCTAATGATACAGTACTATGTGAATCTTACATGGTTGGTTCAAGTTAAGCAATGATGGCATGTTGTCATTACGACAGAAAATACATTTGAAATTGTTTCTCAGTTTTTAGAATCAAACAAAAATGCACACAAGATTGTATAGAAATATTAACTATTTAAAATAACAAAAGCACACAAGATTACTAAAATTAAAAATAGAAATAAAGCTAATTTAAAATATGAATAAATATTGTAATAGCACATTAATAATATGAAAATAACACATTTAAATAATTATTTGTAAAGACTTGCCATTTTAAATACTCATAAGCATGAATTGTCTTTATAAATGATGGTGATGATGTTCTATCAAACACATCATTTACACTGTAAAATCTTTTCCAGAACATGTAAATTATTGGAGTACATTTTCAGTAGAAAATTCAATTTCAGGCTTTTTTTCAATTTTGTGTTGCTTGCCGTTTCTTCATGACTGCGAAATGCATTAGCAATTTCTGAGTGAAAATTGTTTCACAGTAAACTGTAAAAAAAAAAACGATTTCAGTTGTAGAATGAATGAATTTAAAGCTTGTACCATTCAGTGCGTGGCACTGGCAGCATTCCGAGGGGAATCTTGAGGAATCTCTGCGTGTGTTTTCTCCACAGCAGGGAAGACACCTCCCATCCTCTGTGAGGCGCTGTAGAACAGGGCACGAGGTGCAGCTGTAGGGTCCCGGGCCTTTACATTCATCACAGGACGGGTCACATGTCGCACATGAGTTATTCTGTGCAAAACACAAAGCATGTTAGAAAGAACCTTGTCTACATTTTTAAAAAGGAAGCGATTAAATATAAGAAAAACAGAAATAATGAAGGTTTAAGAGAGAAATGCATTAAAACACTACATTACTGATTTGATAAAACTGTATTAAAAATATATATTGCACCCCCCTAGTAACTACTACTGTACTACTACTGAAACACTGAGTAATTAAACGTTTATAGATCTGCCGCATTCACTTCCATTGTAAGTGCTTCGCTGTAACCCAGATTTTATTTTTAAAGGAGAGACAAATATAAATTAACAATATTATGGCAATAAACTTTATGCCACAAGTGCTGTTGATTGAGCTTAACTTGCATTGAACCCAACAACCCTCTACAACAAGAGAAAAATACGGTGATCGAGAAGTGCAAAACAAATCACAATTCTGAAAACAAAATAACAAATTACAAATGCAAATGCAAGTCTAAAAAACTAAATAACAATTCAGAAAACACAACAACAATTCAGAAAACATTATAACAAGTCAGAAAACACAATGACAAATTCGAAAAACAAAATAAGTCAGAAAACACCACAACAAATCAGACAAACCAGAAGAGGTAGGTATAGTTTGAGACGGCACCATTGGTTTGGGGTTACTCACCGCTGATTGGACGAGACATCTGTCAATCAATGTATACAGGAAGAACCAGCCGAAGAACAGCAGAGTCGTGGTAGAAAGTTCGGAGATAGTATTAAAGTAGCTCAGTTTAAATGTATTGTATGAATTGCCCTTACTATGGAATAAAAAATACGGAGTGTCTAGTTACACTTAGTGCAAATAGCCCGCCTTGTTGGCAGAGGCTATGTACAGTAATTCCGCCCTGCAACGTGTGATTGGGCTTGTCAACACTTTAAAAGTGGCAGTAAAAAGTCAGCTCCAGTGGCGCAAATGGAAAAGTTCATGTTTTTGGCTATTTGACGCGATCGACCCGGGTTCATTCCCGCCTTTTGCCGAACTCCCTTTTCAAATCTCGTATCACATCGTAAAGGCATTTATTTTCAATAAAAATTAAGGGAAAAAAAGTTGAAAATAAAGTATTGGGTAGGGTTAGGGTAGGTGTAGGGAGGGCTTTATTGTACCAATAAGGTGGCATCCATTTAATAATTTAAATTAAAATAATAATTTACACTCAATACGTTATTATTGCAAACTTGTTTATAATGTACTACAATACTGAAGTGCAGATAACTGCCACTATTTGCAACAAGTAGTATACTTGATAGTAGAAATCCTGCTATTTTAACA